TTTTTTTTTTTTTTTTTTTTTTTTTTTTCCAGTGCGTGAATGATCAATTATATTATCGATGTATCCCCATTGGAAGCTGTGTTGGAGAATCCATTATTAAGTTGTTCGTTGCGAACACCCTGCATATATTGGTCCTTTTCTATAGGTTTAATTGACAGACAAATCGATGTATCACAAAGCACCCCACACCTTTGAGGTAGACCATTTGATGACTGTCGGGAGCGTTGGGCACCATTCAATGGTCTTGTACGATCAAAATTTGACGGCCCGTCGTATTTGGTTCCAAATAAAGCGCCACCATTCATCATTTTCGCATTTCTGACAAGTTTTCATTTTAAAATAAAGGGAAGTAATGATTTTAGGACTTAAAACAATTTCGAGACACTTGGATGAGAATTGGTTCCGGAATTTGATCGTATATCGAGACCTGTAGGCCTGAGTACCAATTTGGAAAATACTTGATTGATTAATTTTTGCTCATTTTCACTTGCATGTGAACTTGCGTATTTTACTTTTATTTAGTTTTTCGTTAGTCACGAATGTCAACAAATGTAGTCTGTCTGAAGCAGAACGGTTTAGCAATGCTAATTGCTGACCTAATTTGCCAAAACGCCCTCAGCAAAACGCTTACTCCGATGTTTATCTGTCATCATCAGGTGAATTTTATTCGACATATCGGTCAACAAGCTTATCATCCATCATCGTTTGGCGATCTAAAGCGTTAAGCCCCAAATTAAACCAACGGAAATCAACAAAATATGGAAACAGAGTAAATGAAAGGAAACGCGTCAATGACGGCGCAGAGATACAACTATTCGTACTCGATGGATGTCCGTGTTGCGTCTGCAAAATTGAAGGCGCGATGGCGCGAGACGTAAACTCGCAATGCTCCGCTCTATTCTGCAATTGATGTTTTGCTCAGATTCGAGAGAAAAGTTAAAAAACAAAGCCCAGTTACGTCTCTCTAATCCTCGGCTGGGCTTTTCATGTAGACCGTGAAGCACCACTCCGTATTAAACCAACGGAAATCAACAAAATATGGAAATAGAGTAAATGAAAGGAAACGCGTCAATGACGGCGCAGAGATACAACTATTCGTACTCGATGGATGTCCGTGTTGCGTCTGCAAAATTGAAGGCGCGATGGCGCGAGACGTAAACTCGCAATGCTCCGCTCTATCCTGCAATTGAGGTTTTGCTCAGATTCGGGAGGAAAATTGAAAAACGAGGCCCAGTTACGTCTCTCTTATCCTCGGCTGAGCTTTCCATGTAGACCGTGATGCACCACTTCATTTTAAACTTTCGCTTCACCCGATTACATTATTGCAGGTTCCTAGACTATATTGTCTCTTCTCCAACCTCACGTCATCATAAAATTCCGTCTCGTATCTGATAAAATGTTTCACCGGCGACCTCTCTCTCTCTCTTTCTCGCTCCCTCTCTCTCGGTCGACGACTAATTGGTTTTTCATTTCCTGGAACGGAGCTTTTGAGGTTAAGCTTTGAAGCGGCGTCCCGTAGACCGGGGTGAGAGCGTGTCATCGGCCTGTATGTGTCGGGGGGCTTTGTCTGGCGCGACCGCGACCGGTGCTTCGGCTTGAATGTCAACGTTCAACGCTCACCGCTCACCGCTCAACGCTTGCATCGCATCCGTGCTGCGGCACGGCACGGCACGTCAAGTCGTTAAATGTTAAGCTTTTGGCAGCGACTTGCAAGGCGCTCGCGCATTACTCGTCCCTTCCTCCGCCCTGACGGATGCAGGTATTTATACGTCACGTCCACGCAGTGTTGCCATATCGCACGTCGAGAAAATTGCCCGTAAAATCGCGTGTTTTCACGGTTTCGTTGTTATGCAGGGGGTCTAGCATCAGGGAAAACCGGAAAATATCAGGAATATTGGCCGATCAGGAAAAAATCAGGAAAATCGGAAAAATCGGACGTTCTATCAGGAATTTTTCTTACGCAAATCTCCTCAGCGGAGAAAGTCTTAAAGCCTTTTGCCTACCGTGCCAGGAGTCGAGAAAAATCAGGAAAATCAGGAAAATATCAGGAATTTTCAAAATGTAAAAATCAGGAAAATATCAGGATTTTTCAAAATTATAAAATACCAGACTCCCTGTTATTTTATCAGAGGATTTTTCACCCTTATTACGAAAGACTTGACTGAGTAGTTTTTTGGTGATCGGTCATCGTATTGGAGAGTACCTATTTGGGCAAAGCACGGTCATGTCGGTAATTTTAAAGCTAGGTGACGGAGCTTTAAAGGCCCAGAAGGGCAGTCAAGCTGTGAAATCGAACTATACAGTATTATTTATCATTGCAATGGAGAATGGGCCTGTTGCATACAAGAGATACAGCCGTGCGAATAGACTTTTTAGAGGTTAAATGACACGAAAATTACGATGGTCACATTAAAAAAGTCTGAAATACACTCCTTACTGCGCAATTTGCGTTGTTAGGAACGCGCTTTTTCAAATTTCCCGCGTCTGGGGGCAGTTTTCTAACGGAAACAATTAACGGCAACTCGCGGCTATTTCCGGTCAACTAAAACTGACAACATAACCTAAAAATCGGAGCTCGTGATATCGTGAAATGAAATGTAGACGGATTGCGTTGGATATTTAAAAGTTGATCGATTTCCTTACCACATAAAGCGTACATGGACCACTATAAGAGATCACGTTGGGTTTTTAAACAAACTGAAGGAAAAAATACCAACAACAACAACGACTTGGCATCTTCCGGAAATCACCGAGCCCGCCGTTTGCTCGTTTCCGGTGATTAGAAAACTGCCCCCAGACGCGGGAAATTTGAAAAAGTGCGTTCCGAACAACGCAAATTGCGCAGTAAGGAGTGTATTTCAGACTTTTTTGATGAGACCATCGTAATTTTCGTGTCATTTAACCCCTGAAAAGTCTATTCGCGCGGCTGTATCTCTTGCATGCAACAGGCCCATTTGCTGGGCAAATTTCATGTTTAAAATGAAATTAATGGGAGAAATGAGTAGAACGATATCCTTGGTTTTTAAGTCGAACGATTATGGGAAGAAATATGACAAAGTAATCTAACCTGCTGAAATACATACGTTTCAAACGGAAATGCCGTCAGATGACGTCGCAAGGCCGTACATATTTCCACCTTTAAATCTATTCCTTTACAATATCCTATTTATGAAAAATACGTGAACTCATTGTCACCTCATTAAGCAATATCAGATGGAGCAACGAGATTTTTGTGTGCACATTCTCCAATATCACGACTCGTCGTTATTAAAGCAAGAAATTGACTTTGTTTTTGCATGAATTTACTCATTTTTCTGAAAGAACGCTCATGTACGTACATTTTTGGCCATCTTGGCTCGATATTAGAATCTGAAGAAATGCAGCGGAAATTTTCAAGTGTTTTTTGTGTCAGAAGGTTGGCTGCCCTTTTGGGCCCCAAGAGTTCCATATTTCGACCTGGCTATACTCTCCCCACTCCATATAGGTACTCTGCTATTGGGATTGCGAATTAGTAAGTGCGGTGCGATATTGCAACAAGAACGATAACAAAGTTTTCGGGGTGTATGTAGTCTTGGCTCACTATGTAGCGTATGTCACCATGTTAGTCGTAAGTAAACTTGTTAAGCCTCGGGAAGAAGAAAAGTAGACTTGTGATACTTGCGGGGGAGAACATAAAGACAGTAGCTCGAGATTAATGTAACGGCTTTCCGCGGCGTTCGTTTCATTTAATGCACACTAAAATTAATAGCGCGACTTGTCCCTCGAAACCTCATTTTGCGAGGAATTACGTTTTAATCGTGCAGTGTCAGGCTCTGCCATCTCACCATAGATTTTGTCCGAAGATTCGCGGAAAAAACTGTATAGTGCTGAGCATTAATAACTGTTTAGATCATATGGAGCCAGCTGATATGACAGTACTGCTAAGAACTACAGTCTGTAGGGCGGGACCCTAAAGTGTTAGGGCTCAGCTGCCATACTAGCTGGCTCCATTTGATCTTAACAGTTAGTGCTCAGCACTAAATCGTTTTTCCGTGGTAAGAAAAAATTTCTTTAACAGGAATAAATTCCTACTTAAAGTTTTCAAGAATCTTCCTGCTGACGATCACTGACTGAATGTTTCAGTTTTTTTCGAGGTATTTAATATGGGAATTTTTCGCATGGTCAAAATTAGGTTTTTTTCTTTTTCTTTCTTTTTCCCTCTTTTTCTCTTTTTTTCGTTTTTCTTTCTTTTCTTTCTTTTTTTCCCTTTTTTACTTTTTCCCCTTTTTTTCTTTTTTCTCTTTTTTTCTCTTTTATTTCTCTTTCTCTCTTTTTTTTCTCTTTTCTTCTCTTTTTTTTCTCTTTTCATCTCTTCTCTTTTTTTCATTTTGCTCTTTTTTCTTTTTTTCTCTTTTTTCTTTTTTTCTCTTTTTTCTTTTTTTCCCTTTTTTTATTTTTTTTCTTCTTTTCTGTTATGTCTTTTCTTTTTCTTCTTTTTTTTCTTTTCTTTCTTATCTGTTCTTTCCTTTTCTTTTTTTTCTTTTTCTGCATCGGCGACTTGGCAAGCGGATTGGCGAATGTGACGGAGGTGGAAGCGTGACAGTGTTTTCTACTTT